GCTCCAACGACTAATCCTGTCACAAATGCTCCAGGCAAGTCTTTGATATGATAACAATAATAATGAGGATTAGGATGAGGATAATGATTATAATAGTAAAGCATAAAATATAAAATCAATACATCTATTTATACTTCGCATAGATATTGTTCAATTCAAAATTTACAAATGTTGTTTGTAGAAAACTTGCGCATAGGCTTTTTTGATGCATTCATCAGGGAAATCCTTTATTTCTTGATAAAAATATTTATGCCTTGCAGCTGTCAGGGTTGAAACAGTGTTCAAGGTCACTAACAAGGACTTTAGTGTTCAGCTGCTAAACAAATCCTCGACAGTCTTCCAAAACCTGCAACAAATTATCAGATCAGAGGTGAGTGGTAATCATCAGATCAGAGATAAGTGGTTATCATCAGATCAGAGGTGAGTGGTAATCATCAGATCAGAGATGAGTGGTAATCATCAGATCAGAGGTGAGTGGTAATCATCAGATCAGGGGTGAGTGGTACTCATCAGATCAGAGGTGAGTGGTAATCATCAATACATCGGGTACTTTTTTTATTATGTGTTGCAAAATAAGTTTAGTACTTTTATAAATGCGTTGACGTAAAGAAAAGTTTTAAAATGTTGCATTTAGTAATGTTTCACGGTTTAATTGTTAAAACAATGTTGAAACATGTCTGCCGGATTTGGAGAAAGTATAACGTTCTGTATTATATTTGCAGCTGTCTTCGCTGTTTTCAAGTGAAATAAGTAATATTCAAGTTGTGCAAGTCAGGTATCGTAACACTAGATTAATTACTAATGAACAGGAGTAATTTTTTTTTGTGCGCAATCGTTTTATGCGAGTCAACGGATATTCTTAAAATGATTTTATTGCTACTTTCAAGGCCTACATTGGACTTGCTATGTCTATTTTTGGGAGAAAGACGCAATCGAACCTTAATAGGTTGTTTTATAGCACTATATTATCACTGCAAGGGAACATCCCTTTGAAGACAAAATAGAGTCTTGATAATGACCAGCAATGGTTTTAATTCGCGTTTAATTATTGCAAACACCGAAGAAAATCTTCTACGAAAGTAGGGCTAATGATAAGTACATATGTGATGGTGACTTCAATATACAGCGTTGATGAAGGACGAAAAACGAAATGTTCCTAGAATACAATTTTAAACTTTAGTATAATTTCGTGAAACAAGTTGTATTAGCTAGTTGGATGCCTCATTGGAAATTATCTATAGACCGATCCTCTATGTTTTGTGACCAGAGCTATTTATATATTTTGTTTTATTTTTTATTTTTTGCTCAACTTTCTGAGAAAAAAAAACATCAAAAAACACACACACAAAAAAAGCACTCGAAGGGAACTAATAATGGCTTTAAAGTATTTAGGGACGTCGGAGACGGCAGGGGGGGACTAGGGGGCTATAGCTCGATCCCACCTTTTCTATAGTGAACTTTCACATCTCCTTTCACGTTTTAAATCACTTATGCTGAATCTGACTCCTACCCTCCCCCTCCCCCCCC